TCATCCTCTGCTGAATCCTCCGGCTGACGGTGGGCAGGCCGCTCAACCTGCTGGGACTGGACTGGCGGATGGCGGGGTAGGGGCGGGACTGGTGGCATGTGTAGGTCGGGGATGTCAGGAACCGAGATGTTTGGAGCTATACTGACCACCACATGACGCAGAGCCGTAGCAGCTGCCAAGAGCTGGTCAAGCTGCGTCTGGAGCTGACGATCACGCTCCTGGAACTGACGATCACGCTCCACGATCCTGGCCTCGAACTCTTGTCTGAGCTCCTCTCGCAATTCCTCTGAAGATGAGGAACCCGGCCGCTTCGCACTCGCATGAGAGCTCCCAGCAGTATATGAAGGGCCAGCGCCACTTGAGCGGGGCAGCCTAGTCGGTGTAGGTCCAAGTCCAAGCCCGCTAACTCGACCAGGGTGCTGCGGCCGGCCAAGACCCGCTAAAAGTGAGGCGGTGGGATCCAAGGCAGACCCCTGAGACTCACGCAACTCGGAATCGACCTGAGTCATCCGTGCCTACCAAAATTAATATAAAGAAGTTAATTATAATATAATGATATCTACACTGTGATATTATATTAATATTTAATTTATTACTTACCGCTATCTCCTCAACCTCATCCGACGCACGCCCGTCTCGGGGTCTATACACCATCGGCCACATCTCGCCATAAGTGGGCGTGTATCCCCGCTCCTGCTGCGTCTTTTCTATCTGTAAATGAAATCAAAGAAATAATTAGTTACAAATTAAATACATCTACATATTTAATAAATTTATTTCAAGTACTCACAATCTCGTCATAAGTGATCGCAAAGCTCCTGGATCCAGCCCTATGACGTATCGTCTGATGCCTGACGCTCCTAGCATTTCTCCTAGAAAGAGCCTGAAGCAAAATGTAAAAAAATTAAATTAAATGAGTCAAGTCGGATAAAAAATAAAGAAATTATAATTAATACAATATTATCATACCATCTGGTCAGCCGTCATCCTAAAATAGACGTAAGTGGACCAGTCTTGGTCCGGGACTCCACCAGGTACATCTGCCAGTATCTCCTGGAGGGGCCTCGTCCCGTCACCTTTCTTCTCCCTCCACAGGTCGGCCCTCCTGTTCTTCCATGCCATCCCCAGCCTCTTGATCGTGTCAGCCCTCAACTCCTCCCCCAGAATAAATTTACTCTATGATTAAAATAATAAATTAACTAAATAACAAATTATAAACAAATAATTAAGCAATTTCAATAATTAAAAACAAATAATTAGTTTTTAACTAATTTAACAATATTATAAATAAAATATAAATTAATCAAAGTTTAATAATAATTAAACAATTAAGTAATTTAAATAAAAAAATATTTTTACTCAACTAAATTTAAAATTATTATAAGTAATAAATTAATGAAATCAATAACAAATTATTTTCATTTAACTACTTTTAAATAATTTAAATTAAAAATATATATTCATTTAACTACTTTTAAAAATATTATAAATAACAAACAAATTAAATAAATAAAAAATTATAATCAAACAATTAAATTATTTGAAAACAAAATATATAATCATTTATTTAAATTAAAAAAAATTATAAATAACAATTTTATATTACCTTCATTATTTCCCAGCCTTGCTGCTTCTTGTCTGAGGTGATCTTCTTCCAGTCCTGCACGTAGATGGGGAACAGCGTCCACTGCTGACCAAGGAGGCGCACGTACTTGTTGTACAACTGGCCACCTTTCTTCGTCGGTTGGCCCAACTCATTGAGCGGCACAACCACTCGTCCGCCCGTCATCATAGACAGCTCTCTGGCTGTCAGCCTCCGATAGGACCTGTTCCCCTCAGTGTCTACAAAATTTAATTAAGAAATAAATTATATATCAATAAATTAATATAATTTCTATATAAATTAAATACTGATCAAAACTTTAAAAAGTTAAAATAAATACTTACCGACAAATTCCACCTCATAACCAGCCTGACGTCTCGGAGCAGGACGCTGTGCAGCCTGGGGATACTCATTCCCCTGATCCTGCTCCTCCTCCTCCTCCTCCTCCTCGTCAGCAGCATCAGCATGGGGTTGCTCATCCCCAGTAAAATGAGCCTCCTCAGTCCGCTCAATACCATCCTGCTCCATAAAACTGAGGATATCCTCCTCGCTCAGATCGTAGTCATGAATGCTGGGAAATGGCTCATCAGCATCATGATGAACCTCACTGGGTCCAGCTCTCTCAGGATCAACTGGGTCTTTCCCATGTCGACGAGGCATCCTAATAACAACAAATAGTAATTATTTATAAATGAAATAAAAAAAATTAATTTATAAGCTATAACATAATAAAATTAATAAAATAAAACATAAAATAAAAATTATTTATCAATAAATTACTATTTTTACTTGAAAATAAGGATCTGCAACTGAATCAGAACTCAAATATGTTTGTGAAGAAAATTCAGCAGAGCTTCGCTTCCAGAACGATTGAAGAAGTGAGAGTGTGGGGGGGTATATATAGACCGAGACTTTCTAGCGGTTAGGCACAAAACCGCTAGAAATTTCTAGCGGTTTTGTGCCTAACCGCTAGAAATTCCCAACGGTCATATGACCGTTGGGAATTTCTAGCGGTTCACGGCCGAACCGCTAGAGATGTCTAGCGGTTCGGCCGTGAACCGCTAGAAATCTCTAGCGGTTAGGGACCGAACCGCTAGAAATTTCTAAACTCCTCGGGGAATGAAAAAAATTTCTAGCGCTTCATGCATCAACCGCTAGAATTTTTCAGTGTCTAGCGGTTTATTAGCCTGAACCGCTAGAAAGTAAACGCTACAAATTTGGCGCCAAGTTCCCGCCAAAGCCCGGGAGTTTTCTAGCTCTAATTTTCTAGCGGTTAGGGGGTAACCGCTAGAAATGTGCGTTTAATGGTCAAACCGTCTGTATTTTGCAGCGGTTTTTGTAGGAACCGCTAGAAATATCTGAAATTTCTAGCGGTTTTGTTTAACCGCTAGAAAGGTTCCGCTGCTACTTCTACAATTCCTTGTAGTGTGGCAAATTCTGATTAGGCACAGGGATCGCGAAGAACTGTCCATCACGGATTATTTGGCAAAAACGACTCACAAGATAGCAGGAAGTTATAAAGTCTTTGATCAACCTCCCTCTTTCGATTTGCAGGGAGATGAGGGATGATGAGAGTTCTTGTTTTCTGAATTGTTTAAATTCTTTTGACCTTCATTTCTTCTTATAGTCGTTAGTTTGTACTCAGTTTAATTTTTTTTTTTTTTTAAAAACGTTGTCTGGATCACACCAAATTCAAGCAATTAAAGCATGGGACTCTCCCTCTACGGTTCTAGCCATACTTTGGTTTTCTAATGCACATGGAACTAGTCATAGTGCTGATTTTTGGGGTATGGAGCTGTATTTTACCATTTTCCCTCTTATTTTATGGACTTCAATTTGTATTTCCTTGGTTTTGCTTTTTAGTGTGCTGCCTCGTTTTTTTTTTTTTACCCTGATGTTCATTCAGTATGATGCCATTATTTTGTTTTAAAGAAGGAGAGCATTTACCCAAAGAGGGTGGGAAAAAAAACCTATAGAATCCTAATTAAGGTTATAAAATATATCATTAATTTTCAGCATATTAAACATACAAACTTAACCTTTCATTTTATTCATTTTATTTTAAAAATAACTTTTCCCCTTCTGAAACATGAAACATAAGTTGACTTAAAAATTCAGAGTGCAAGCGGGTCAATGGAATTGACAAACCCTACTGAATTTTTTATCCTGTCAACGGACTTCAATCATCCTGACCAGTTTCTCATGCAACACACGGCTTTTTTAAAACCAAATATTATAAATTTATTTTATAACTCGTAGTTATCGAGACAATTATTCAACACCATGCATAAAACCGTGATGATCATGCGGGTTTAATCGACTCCCTCAAAAGATGAACTGTGGTTTTGAATATCTGGCAGTGATTAAATAATTTAATTTTTAATATAAGACCTATTTAACTAATTTGATTAGATTAAAAAAAATTAGATAAGTTAGTTAATTATAAAAAAATGACATTTTTTTCTAAAACACCATAACCATCTTTTTTAATATCCTCCCTCCCTTTTCTACTTGATTATGGTTAAGAAAGTATCTATAAATATAATTTAAAAAAAAACTGATAATATAAGAAATATGTACGAAAATCAACTCAATAATTAGGTTTGATATTAAAAATTAAAGGAGTAAAATATTAATCCAGATCATGTTGCTAAGAAACAAGGACTACTCCGACATACTCCCCCCACCTATAAGCAATTCCATACCAAGTCATTCCTAAAATAATGATTTGAGCAATTAATTTATAATATTCATTTGCTAATTTTGTCCCTGCAAAATTTTTTAATTTTTTCCCACAAAAAGTATAGGCTTCTATTTAATTATTTATTTATTCATTTATAACAAAGAGTCCGTGTTGGGGAATGTGCGCAAAGATTCATCAAAGGAAGGCGACTAATAGAGCATGCACGTGGTTTCCCCAGTCGTTATTTATTGTTTATTTGCTGGAATGTGTTAGAAACAGTTATAAAATAATTAATTAACAATTAATGGCTGAAAATAATTGATGTGATACTGGAATGTTTGAATAATTGGATCGCAGTGACCCCAGCCGCACAAAGCTAACTCAAAAGCAATGACGTATGGATATCGGACAGCCACAAGAGCCAGCCACACCAAAGCAAATAAGCAACATTATCGAAAATCATAACAAAGTACAGTATAAAATTTCCATCGATTGAAAATACTCCGCCACGAAGAATAAATTAGAGAATGAAACATGAAATATTAATGTTCAAAAATGGATGCCAATATTAAAATATTTCACTATGTCACTGACTCTGTACACATCCGCAAAATCATGGCCAGAATAAGGTCATGCGGCACACCGCAGGATGAATCTTATTTATATTTTGCAGTTACTTAATCAAGTATCTAAAGAATAAAATTACTTGATCATTCACTGGTTCTGGCTCTGAGTTAGCCAAAGATTCTTGAATTGTGAATCGACAGTCTCCATCAAGTTCTTCACCCTTGTTAAGCAATAATGGGTGCAAAAGGGTCCCGACTGGCATGACCCGACCCGAGTTGTCTTCAACAAATAGCAGGCCGGCCCGCACCCCGCCCGTCTCCCCTGAACCACCACCCCCCACACCTTCGTCGTGTTTTCCCTCCCTTCTGGTCGTTCTTTCCCAGTCTGATCGTCGCCGGTCAATTCTTCCACCAATATAAGGCCTTCCGGCAATAGCGCCATTTCCTGTCGCCATTTTTCCTTCGCCTCTGGCCAATTCTCCTCCATTGCCCTCTTCTCTGTCACCAACGTCGCCGTTGTCGTCGTCGTCGTTATCATATGATCACCATTGTTCTTATCGCCGTCAATATACCCCGTCGGAAAAACCTGCACTAACAACGGCGCTTCCCGCAAATTCTTGACGATCTCCACCACAGAATCCCTCATCCACTTGTCCAACCTATCGATCGTGTCGGCAGCGTCTTTTCCTTCTGCCCGATCGCCAGAGCCACGCGTTTCCATATCCAAACTCAAATAGTCCTTCTCGACACCGGTCGCCGCCATGGCCGGCGCGGCGGTCAAGGCGGCCGCCGCCGCCGCCGTGATCCTCCTATTTTGTCCTCTCGAACTGCTCTGATCGCCAGCGAACATCACAGACATCGGCCGTGGCGCATCGCCACAGAGACTACACCAATTATTGTCGATGCCGAACCTGGCAAAGCCATGATTACTGCTCGTGCAACCAATGCGGAGAGAAAACGCCATCAAGTGGGAAGGCGGGAGGAGCAAGTCTGAACAAAGAATCGAATGGCGAAGGAAGAAGAAGGATCGGATGGAGAAGAGCAAGAACGAGCAGAAGACCAGTTATATAGCTAATTGCTTGCAACACGTAATTGTAAAGAAGACGAGTGAAGATTGAAAAGCGAGGGAGGATTTAGTTATCGTGATAGATTCTCTTGGAGATTGAACGGTCACGATTAGATATAAGAGTTCCAGGGTACAGTCTAAACCGTCGCTTATTATTAATTTTAAATTTTAAATTAATTTTTGAAATATCGAATGCTCCAATTAGGATTCCTTGTTTAGAGAGGAAACATCGCTTGCACGCCAGAGATGTGGTGAAAACTGCAGGTGAAGTTTCTGTGCGGACGGATGTATTAGATTATGGAGCAATCCTCTCCCAGTTGAGATCGATTTCTTGATGGACGGTGACGATGGATTGGAGCAAAAGAGAAAGGAAAGAGTGAGCGTGTGTGATTGGCGGATGGCATTGCGTGTGTTGCCTGGAGAAGGATGAAGAGGGGCACGTGGTTTCACGCGAAAAGTGCATGGATATCGAAGGCGGACACACATATGGCATTGGCCTGTACACAATCCTGTCCAATAAAATCAGTTGCGCATGACACGTCAGTATATGCAATGCCACATCAGCAATGGCGCTGTGAGTTGCGTTGTTTTTTGTAAAAATAAAAAATATAAAAATAAATTTATCCCCCGTTATTTACAGAAAAAAACTCATCATGTGACAAAGGTTGTTTATAATTATAACTTTGATTGGATTCCATTTTATATCAAAATCAAATTTAGCCTAAACAATGGTCATTATTTTTTAAGTAATTTATTATATATATTGATAGATCAATGTTGATTTTTCCACTTCTATAAGTAAATACTACACTCTTTAATTTTTTTAGTAAAGGAGCTAGAGAATTAATTTAAGAATATTAAAAAATAAATTAAATTAGTTATTTTTTTCAGTAAATTAAATTAGTTATTTGTAACAAACAAATAGTACCTATTTTATCATATTCTTTGGAAATATTCTTTGATGAAAATAACTCAATAAGAGTATTTGAAAAGTATATAAATTTAAAAAATAAAATGAATTAAAATGTAATACTCTTCCGGTCTTTAATATATGACCAAATTCTGAGTTGATAATATGTTTGGCAATTAAAAAAAAAAAAGAACGTGATATAATATTATATTACTATTATTTATGGAGTCAACAAATTTTAATAACAAGTAATTTTATTTGCATTAAACCCTCTTCGTCATGAAAGTGTGGAGGCATAAAGCGGGCGCATCCACGTGCAGCCCTTAGGAAGCTAAGGAGAAGGCGAGTTTTTTGACCGGGAGGAGAAGGTGAGTAGATGACGAACTGTTGGCAACTCTCTTGGGAAGTATTCTGCAATAGATGACTAGAAGTCTAGAATTACATTCAAAGCTATTCTTTTTAGCAGGCTAAGATTTAAACTAATTAATTCTTAGTTGAATAAAGAAAAAATTATAAATAAAAACCTCTTAATATGTAAAATTATGATTTAGGACCTTGAATTTAAAAAATAACAAATAAAAACACAGTCTCACTTTTGTAAATATAAAATCATGATAAAATGTCTGAAATACCTCTCAGCTAAATGACAAGTTTACTATGGGAAATGACAAGTTCACTTTAGCGAATGAAAACTCCAGTAGACCAAATCACAACTTGATTAAGAGTATGTCAAATGAGACTATGGAAAATGATAAGTTCACTTTAGTAAATGAAAATTTCAATAGATCAAATCACAATTTGGCTGAGAGGCGTTTTAAACATTTTACCCACATTTCATATTTGTAAAAGTGGGACCCGATCCTTATTTGTTATTTTTTAAATTTAGGATCTCAAATCATAATTTTACATATTGGGAGTCTTTATTTGCACTTTTTTCTTGAATAAAATAGTTAAAATTTGCATTACAATTTCAAATAGATTAAAAAAAAAATATCCAAGTGAATATGTTGAAATACTTTTGAATTAAAAATTTTATAATTTTAAATTATAATTAAAACATTAAAATGTATAGCTTTCTCTAAAAATTGACCAGCATGCGTATGCAACACTTTTAATTTCTTCTACTGAGGGGGTGTTTGGATGAGGCAAAACCATAGTTTGCAGAATAGCTTCTGGAGAATAGATTCTGGAGAGAATAGATTTTGAAAAAATAAATTTTCTAGAAAAGTGATTCTGATAAAGTGAGAGTGTTTGGATAATTATTGTCAGAAGTGCTTTTTGATATGTAGAAATTACTAAAAAGGACATAAGTTTAAATGATAATTACATATAATATATATTTCATAATATATGTTTATCTGAAGTAATAAATTTATTAATAATATATATTTTGACAACATAATAAATATGGCATAAATAATATAAATTATAAGAAATTAGTGTGTATATATATTAATAAAATAAATAAATATGTTTTTAAAAAATGATTTATTTTGCCAAATAATTGTACCCCCAAGCTGAATGAGTACACCCCCCAAGCGTGCTGAATGAGTCCCCCCCTCGTGCTTGTTCCCTCTGTAGCCAATAATTGTCCCTCCGCCTGCTTATCTGAAACCAAGGTTTTGTTGGGTTTTGCCCAAAACCTTGGTTTTAAAAAAAATAGGGTTGTTTGGTAAATTTTTTGCCAAACCATGGTTTGGTTAACCCCATTATTAATCATGCGATACACGCACGCTACAACATGCGTAATTGCGTACACTCCTTTTTTTTAAAAAAAAAATTAAAGGCAACTTTATGAGAACAAGATAAAAAAGACAATTGGGCTCACTACAACAAGCGCACATTTCCTTTGCTTCCGGACAAAAACTTCTTGGGCCCCAAGAATGGCCCAAAAGAAGGAAAAGTGGTGCGGCTCAAAGAAAAGTTAGCATTTTCCCCACGAAACAACAAAAAAGAATTTGAACCAATAAGGGTTGGTCCAAGTGGTAAGCGGTTTAGTATCATTTAAGCAAGATCTCGAGTTTGAGCCTCAACGTATGCAGAAATCCCTGTTAGGAGATTCACCCATCATAGCCAGGTACGCGATGCGGATCGGATTCAGATGTAGTCAGAACAAAACTCCAGTGAACTGAATGAGCAACCAAAACAAAAAACAAAAAAGAATTTGTTACGACTTACACGCCGAAGAAAAGAAAAACTCACACGCCCCAACAAACGTACAGCACTCACCAATCACTCATGAGAGATCAAGGAACCAGCAACAGGTTAGCCTTTACTATTACCTCTAAATAGGAGACTTTAGACCCAGGGAGACTGTGCAATTACTCCCAAAAACCCGCTAAAACAATAAATATGGATACCTTTCTTAACGAGGATTCGAATCTTGATTCTTCAAGAACTAATTTATTCTGTTAAACTTAGTCCTTTCTCTCCTATCATAACATTAATTACTTCCAACCTCCTTTCACATTTTGTTTTGTTAGCCCGTCTTCTTACTTCTGTAGCTAGTCCCTACTCAGTCTATGCAATTTCGAGATAGAAAAAAACGGTGTTCCTATTATTCAGATGAAATAAAAGAAAAATCCATGCACTTTCCTCATCTTCCACATTATAGTTCATGCAACAATTCAAGAAGCGGACAATTCCATGTGTTTTCCTCGTGTTGCAGGTGATGAATAAATAAATCTATACATAGGAATCACATGAAAAATGAGCAAAAACGCTTCAGCTATAATGTAGTACTCCTCCGGTCCTAATTATAAGACCCAATTGACTTATTTGAGGAGATTAAAGAAGTAAGTTAAGTTAGTTATTTATAATAAATAAGTGTTGTCATTCCTAAAATATCCTTGCTAATTAAGTATATTGGATAAAACTATCATTATTAGAAGGATTATCTTGGAAAAAAATGCATAAATATAAGAGACAAAATGGATTAGGTCTTATAATTAGGACCAAATAAAAAGTCAAATTGGGTATTATAATAAGGACCGGAGGAGTATTTGGTTGTTCCAGCAGGATGTTAGATTTTACAACAACAAACAAAATAAGGATAATCAAAACTTTTAAACGGACTTTGTATTTAAGATTTAAAGGAAGTTGTCTCTTAGAATTCGGTACTAATACTATCCACTTAATAACAACAAATCAAATTTGTCTTGGGGCACACTTAATTTGAAAAGTAACAACACTAGGCCAAAAATAGCGAATTTAACGGTGAAATTTGTAAACTTCATAATCGGCTAATTCGCTTCCCTTTTTTTTTTTTAATTATTGATGACTTGTACATGCTATAAATTTTATAGTATATACACAGCGCTTTGATTTCCCCGAAATTATGAGATATTTGCAAGATCAAGAACACATATCCCTTATTACCAAACCTTATTGCTTTAATAAATATCAGATGGGAATCCTGTATTACAAGAAAACAAAACATACAAATCAAACAAGCAAGTGAATGATATCTTGAGCTATATGAATGAGAGACATGAGAGGGTTGTCTCTATCAGATAAAGGCGACTTCATCTTCGGAGGCACCAAAGTGAAAACCTTCTCACAGGAATCAGTACCATTGGCAGCGATCTCCAGATAAGAAAGGGCCACATCATTCTTACCGGAATCCAACTGTGCGACGGCCGATGATACATCAGTTACTATCACAGCATAAATCAGGCGACAACTCTGGAGCTTGTCGACGACAGCTTTTTCTCTGGCCTTTCCGACCAATTCTGGGACTACTTTGTATAAGGTTTCGTTGGCGTTATCCAGCGACTTGTCGCACACGATGTGAGCCAGACCCTTAGTGTCTGATCCGGCGCTTTTTGGATCTGATTCCAAGGTGGACTCGCACAAACTGGGATTTCTGGTTTTCTGACACACTTGATCGATCAAGTCGTTCGCGAAAACTGATCTTGCTGTTGATGGCTGATACTGGTATGAAGAAGAAAGCAAGGCGACAAGAATGAACGCAGATATTAGGGTTTCCATCTTCATCTCTTTGCCCGCAAAATTTGAATTCTGCAAGCTAGAGAGATGGGACGTGTATATATAATCCCCAGTTTTAGTCTGCAATTGATAACGCTATCTCCATTGAATAATTGTGATTTTTATAAATTAATGATCTTTAATTACTTGTAGCATAAGAGTATATATCTACATACATAGAAAATAATTATTATGTAGAAATAATTATATGGGAGAATTACAATGAGGTCACAAGCAAGGAAAACAATTAAAAAATAAGTCCCAAAGATTATCATTCTCACTATAGGACTTGTCATTATAAGTTGTTGATATTGTTATTTGAATCTTTTGGTAATTATTTCTCTGGGACTTGATTGTAATTTTTTCTAATTATATTGAGTTACTTATATGTATTATGTTAAGTTCTTTATTCACGCACCATCACATATCCTTTTTTTTTAAAAAAATATTATCATTTAATTATAAATTCATATGAAAAAAATATAACATTTGATGATTGGAGAATTAGATACAATGAATATAAGTAATTTGAACCAAGTATTGTCATATATTAAATAACAACTCTATTCCTTAACATAAGAGCTAATTGGAGATTCAATTTATTCATAGATATACAAAACTTCAATGTACTTTGTTTCTAATATTTATCAATTCTGCCTTCAAGTGATTTTTATAGAAATTGCACATGATAAGGAGTTTTCATGAAAGTGTAATTTTAATACACATAATTGATAAGAGTATTTTTTTTTAAAAAAGTAACATTTATTTATTACAAATAATTAACTTAATAATTTTTTTAGTATTTGTAAATTAGTTATCAGCTCTTATATTAAGCGCTGACCAAGGCAACAGTATATTGTAAATTTTGAAATTGACAGCTGGTTGGTCAATCTCAAAATTTACAATATGGCCACAACACACACACACAAACACTTGATATTTGTGAATTTCAAAACTCAGTCCCGCGAACTCAAGTTTAATTTGTATGCAGCTCAAGTCAAGCTCTACATAAGACAGTTTGAGAGTCAGAACTCATCAGAAAAACACACACAAACACGTTCTTAATACTTTTGCTAACATAATAATTAAAATGTTTCAAGTAATTGCTAAATATTTTCGATTAGGAATGATGTGTGTGTGTGTGTGTGTGTGTGTTTCAAATACACAGAGAAAGAGATGAACATACTCCATTGTTGCCGTCGAATATGTCAAACTTAATACAGAAAACATGTGAATCTACACGAGAGAAATACATCACACACAGAATGTTGTCTTGAGCTAAACGAACAAGAGACAATAGAGTCCGGTCCCATCTGTACTATTGTTCGATATGATGAAACAAAAGCGACAAGAAGCAAAGACAAATTGTGGGGTTTTTATGTTCATCTTTTATTTTTATCATGTTTTAAATAGGCGTAAATAAATAAATAAAAAGAGTGCAAGGGGAAAGATCTGACTCAAGGACAACCAGGTACTACCCTAACTGGAGCGGAAGCTAACGCAAGTTAAATAAAACTCACAACCTTTTTTTTTTTAGGCTAAGCATAGCTATTTTGCTATTCAAAACATTACGGACATTAAATATTAGCATCTCTCATGGGAGTTTTTTGAACCTTAGTTCATTATATTACGAGAGATTAACGAGTTCTATTATAATCAAATTCTGTTGGTAGCCTGAAATACATAACCATGAATGAGTTCGTTAACGCTTCGGCCCGCCTCATCCACTGAAAAAATCTACGTGAATGGGCTCAAAGCCCATTATTAATCTTTCCTTAAAACGGATGATCCTAACAACTCCCTATCATTCGGCTGTTACACGACTGTGTCTTCATTTTGTTTAACATAAGCAATAATTAGTACGCATCATCTTTAGCTAAAGTGGGTTCTGTGTAACACATAATTTTGCAGTAGAGCGAAAAAGGAAAAATACTTCCACAGTGAAATTTGATGGCTTTGCTTTTTTTTTTTTTGGGTGAAATGACAGCTTGGGATTTTGAATCTTCCAGTTTGATGCCGTACGAAGATGGAGAAAAGCATATATTAACAGTGAATAAATCCTTAACCAAAAAGAGGGAAAAAAATATCTGAGACATGTGATATGGGAAGCCATGAAACAAGTATAAGGAGAGGAGGTGATGACTAATTGTCCAATAATGAATGGATTCCTTCTATAAGAACGTCTCTTTCAATTTTTGCATCCCAAATTCTCACTTCTTGGACGAAATTCGAAGTTAGTGCTGCAATGAATTTCTTTTCTGTGCTTTCAAACTGTGGGCCTCCCAAGTCCACAGAATATCATCAAGCAAACACTAGAGTTTGAGATTCCATTCTCTGAGCAGAGCACAGCACAATTTCAATCATGATTCCTTTGTATCAATTATGCCCTTGTACTCAATTTGCACATCAAATCAAACAGTGAGAAGAGAAGAAATAATAGCAGACCAAGTGAATTTGTCTTCCTCTAGCTAATGAGCCAAGTAACTTCCTCGCTCGCCCCCCCTCTCTCACTTCTTTTTCCTCTCCACTCTTCCTTCCCTTTCCTCAACATTTCTGTAACTAACAATGTCCACTCATAGTTGTTTTCTTTCTAAATTTGTGCCCATCAAATACCTCACATTTCAATTCCACTCATCTAGTTGAACTGAACTTATCATAAATCCTCCCTGGAGGCCACTCAGCGTTAATAAGACTTTGGCAGATAAAAAAGGTTTTGGATTTTCAGTGCTCGTAATGGTGCCAGCATGACAACATTTTGAGTGTCACCTGAGTCTTTCATGAAATAGCAATGTGATGAGAAGGATTTGGAGTATCAAATATGTCTAGATAAGTGAAGAAGAAAAGAGTAAAAAGATATCTCTGCTCTTTGTGCCTTGTGATCTGCTTCATGAAGGATAGAGGAATCTCATGTTTTGGGCTTTCGTAAATTTGGAATGCAAATCGCACTGGAACTCTGGGAGCTGAAACAACTGCTATGAGCACTTTGCAATCACTTTGAATGATAACGGACTTGAGAGTGTGAGGCATGCTTTACGCGTGAAAAAGATTTCTTCTTGTTATTTCTTTTGTACATAAATTGACTGGCTTCTTCTAGTGATTGTTGCAAATTACAGCTCCTAGCTCCATAAATTTTTTACGTATTTGTTTAGACATGGTGTGCTCCTTTAGTTTTATTTGGGATTAGATAGTAAATTTCCATGTGATAAGGTATCTGCCATCCACACTGAAAAAGCCAGATTGATGTCTGCTTTGATATGCAAAATAAATTATTTTTCATGAGGAATCAATCTGATATAGACTCAAACAGAGATTGTTCAGTCACTTGCTATACTTGTTCATACTGACATAACATATCAGATTGTCCACTAGCAACCACTTGAACTCAAATAAGATTATGAGAAAGGACCATTGCAGTTAAGTAGGATTTACAGGTAAATCACTCTAAAATGAACTCAACCAGAGATCCAAGTGCTGTTTATGAACATTCTTCTCTCTCTCTCTCTTGTTTACCAAAGAGAAAAGAAGAGTTCAACAAAGCACCCATTCATATGCACTTTTTTCATTCTTCTGAGGGAGGGGAAGTCAAGCTACTAGGAGGGTATCATTTGGCTTTCAATCAATTTGCAAGAAACAAACATTCAAGATTCAGTACCATTTGCTTTAGGACAGAGAACATTTACAAGCACTGAATGTGAAAAGGCCACTCAGAAACCATTATCAGGAAATTTTAATCTGCAATACTGATGTTCACCTGGCTGATATCTCCATACAAATTACAATAACAGCACCGCAAATCCCCAAAAAGAAAAAGAAAGGAAGGAAAAGAAAATCCCAAGATAGAAAGCTATAAACAACCTAATCTCTATTTCCAACTTTTCTTTTTCTGTGGTACAGATCTTGATGAGTTGACGGTGGAGGGTTAAGAATTGCAAACCTCATCCACAGCTACAACTATACATTGCCAGAACCAGAAGTGCTTGCATTATGCTGGTCAAGCAAAGACTGCCTGCAAGTAGGGCAAGAAGAATGCGAGAGAAGCCATGTGTCTATGCACCTCACGTGGAATCCATGGTTGCACTTTGGAAGAACCCTCACTTTCTCTCCATCCACAAACTCTCCTAGGCAAATTGGACACTCAGTGGCTCCAATATCAGTAGAACCTGATGAACCGTATACAACTATAGGGATCTGACGCAAAACACTCTTCTTCAACCCTTTTGCCGCTACACGAGCTGCAGCTTCATCTGATGTCTCAAAAGCAAACCTGCTGCTGCATCTCAAAGCACATCTTACAATTGAGTTTAGCCCTAAAGCACATATTAATGCACAGAGCAAGGCCGCTAGTATAATCACCATGTTTGTGTCAAAATTGGCATCACTTGTGTTAAAACCCCCTGTTCTGTTGCCGTTACCTGGAGGGGATGAGGCTGAATCCATGCTTAGCAGTAGGCGAGCCATTTATCCGATCTCTTCTTACGTTCTCCAATGATTCCGATCACAAAGCTCAAAATTCTCGTACCCTTTTGATGTCAGCTGAGTTATCTGAGCAAATAGCCTTACAAATCATCCCACGCTTGTGTAGCAGTAGCTGGTTGTTGATTTATCTTTTCTTCTGATGCAGGAAAAATGATTTTGTTTCTACTTTAATGAAACATAAACACCAGGCAGAAGAGGCTTTCAATTTCAAAGAAACATATTTTCCATCACAAAGGACAAGTGGCGCCGAATAGCGTCTTAGACTCTGCACTCCATTCCAATCTAAACCCTCGAAGGCCCTGAAAATTCTGATGTACAGGACTCTGACAACTCTTCAGGAGATTAAACAAGAGAGAGAAAGAGAGGGAGGGAGAGCGAGATAGAGGGAGAGCAAACTTCTTTATGCAGAAGAAAGAGGGAGGAGAAGGTAAAGTATATATGGTTTTTATTATTTTCTCTGTAGAGATTGGAGGCAGTGAAAGTGTTCAGGTGCTATGTAATGTTTAGAGGTTGCAGAGGCAACTTGGGACACAGATACTATATGAGCAAGGGAAAGTAAGACAGATAGCTTGTTTGTTATTTTGTTTCATTTTCATAATTGGTGTGAGACATGACACACAGAGACTTCAATCAAGGAATCAAGAGAAGGATGAAGCAAATAAAAAGAAAACGGAAAAAAAGGTCGTTTTGGGAATTTTGATTACGGGACCTGATCCCACCTAATCTCACAAGCAGCTTATTTAAAGGAGTACTTATTCTGAGCACCAAATCCTTCTCCCACTCAACAATTAATTTAAGGTTGAAGTAATCTCAGCTTCTTCTTATCTTTCTCATCGAACGTCCATTATTTGATTGCAATATTTTTTTGCATAGAAACTGAAATAATTCATATCCCAAAAGAAAATCACATGGGACCATGACATCAGAAGCCCCTTTCATGCTCGTTTGATTGCAACATTGAAATGTTCCTACCAAAGGCTGATATTTTAAAACCCCATTTCGATTAGTGCAATATTAATCCAAAGACTTGAAAGTTACGAGTCAGCATGATAAGACCAGCCCAAGGGCAAGCTACCTTTTCGGTGTAAACAGCAATCAGAATACAGCTAGATAATTCTCAGACCAATTTCCCGGTCATCACACATAACTAAACACCACTCACAAGGGGGGAAACAGTTAAAGGTGGATTAATCGGGCAAACCTTGCTAATCCGAGGGTTGAGGATTCGGTGATGATTGAGTGGAGAAAACCCTTTTGTCGATATGCGGACAAGTGTTTGAGAACATCACGAAAACCGAGTGAGAGTGAGGGTTTTTGTTTTTTGGGGTGTTGCTTTCAAGGACAATGACGTCCCTACTTTGTTAAGGAAGATAGGGATGCATGGCATTAATAGGGACGAAGGTTGGTGAGAGTGACACTGTGTGGCGTGTGAAGACGTTAAAGCGAGGAGCCACACGGTAAAGGTCATGTGGCCCTGTATCCTTTCCAGGACAGTGAAGACGTTGTATGAAAATTGAAAACGGAAACGCGTTCCCTTCCAAAAATTGTTCTTTTATTCGAAACTTCACATCTTACGTTCATCTCGCCACTAACCATTCAACGCCTGGACTTGGGTTAGATTAGAATCCGAGTGATATGAAAGTTTTCATGTAAACAAAAAGTTACAAGTTTGATCTTACTCACTACTACTGTCAGTTCTATTTACAAGATTTTATTTACAGTTTACAAACAAACGCTTATAAATAAAATCAAAGATAACATGATTTTAGGTTATTAGTGTCATAAAACAAGTACATGTGAATATTTGAAAGAACCATATTTTAAAAACTAGCTGTGAGAATTAGAAAACTTGAATATAAAACTCATGATAATTGAGTCAAGTATACTGTTATAATGAGCACATGCCTTTCACAAAATCATAGCTTAAAAGCTAACAATTGGAGCCGGGAAGTCCAAAACCCTCCTTTAAATCAGTTGTCCCCATGTTCTGAATATACGTGTTATGCGATATAACTTTATTTCTGTCAACTAAATCAAGCCTGCCTTGGGACGTCCATTTGGAGAAGGCCACCTGCCCTTGTCTCTAGAACTAGCACCGTGCAAAGTCCCATCAAAGTCATGTTCATTAATTACCAACTCCTTTCTTAATCTCTCGCTTTCTGATGGTTAAAACTGAATCAAATATGGGTTAATTCAGGTAGGCACGTAAAGCTGATCAGTTATAAGCAAACAACATCAACCGGATTGATTGTCCCTTGTCATTTCAAACCATGTGAAATTAATATCTTTGGATTTAGGTGTCATTTAATTTAATTAGACTTAATTAATTGCCTTGCACTTTCAGTTTGCATTGCAAACTTGGACCTCCTCCGGCCTACATTGTCAAGGCCTATCTTCTTCACCGCTGGATTCACTCACACGTGTGATCTCCGCCTTCTCCTGGTTTCAAACTTTGCTTTTAATTTTGCCCCAGGCAGCACGACATGGATTCTGTGCGTGTTCATGACACACGAGTAAAAGCATTATTGGAATTCAATGAATTATTTATTATGCTTATATGATATGAATATACTACCTTCAATTCTTAATATACCACTCTATTCTTTATTATAAGTTACTTATATCTCAAATCCGCAAATTAAGAAATATATTAAATTAACTATTTTTTTCTATATTTATCCTTATTAAAAGTTGAGAGAGAGAAAAAGAGGGAAGAGATGAATTGCATAGGAAATGAAAAGCTGAGAAAAAGATGAAAAGAGAGATTAATTAATTTTTATTAAATTAATAGGGGTAAAATTAGAAAAAGATAATTAATTATATTACAAGTAACTTATATTTTGAAAAAAACTTTTACGGTATAAGTGACCTATAATAAGGAACATAGTAGTAAGAGTTAGGTAATTAATTTATAAATATTATAAAAATTAGTTAAATTAGTTATTTATAATAAATATGTATTGTCTGTTCTAAAATATTTCTGCTGATGGTGTAAAATGGAATCTATTAGTTTTGTCAAAAAATATTACTCCTCCGGTCCTTAATATAAGACCCATTTAACTAATTTGATTAAATTAAGGAAGTTAGGTAAGTTAGTTAATTATAAGAAATGTAACACGTTTTTCCTAAAATACCATAATCATCTTTCTTAATACCCTCTCTCCCCTTTCTACTTGATTATAGTTGAGGGAGTATTCATAGGGGTAATTTAGAGAACATTGATAAATATGAGAAATGAGTCTTATATTTAGGACCAAAACCAACTCAACAATTGGGTCATATATTAAGGACCGGAGGAGTAGTATATTTTAGGCGACTCAAAAGATTAATTATTTATTATGCTTATATAAATATTAGTGTATTTTAGACACTTATCCAAGTATCATTTTCCCCCCGCCAAGTTGCATAAATATCCAGACATATCATTTTGTTGTTGAAAAACTCGACGATAGACTATGATAACAAAAATATAAATAATTACATATAAACCTGTTTTTGTTTTCATTCAGAAAACCCTCTCTATAAGTAAGGTTCGCGACAAATTCCGAAATTCACATAAGATTCTGCAGTTTGTTTTATTTTGCGTGCTAATGGATAGGCCAGATTTTTAATCCGTCCGCTTTCTTATGACCTCTAAGTAATGTATATAGTTAATTAATTAATTTACAAGTCCACAAGATTTGTCTTGCCACAGTAATAAGTCTATCAGCTAAGAATGACAGGTTTTAAGTTTTTCTTTTTTGGTTTTTTGCGAAGCACGTGGTTATGATTAAATCCATGTTAATAAAAGATAATAGAAGCAGTTTGGTGATGTGGAGCGAGAGAGAGAGAAAAAAAAAGTCATATTATACCGACATGCATTAGTTTCAATGGAGTCAGTTTTGGCTGGCCGAGCAGTGGAATCTCAAGTCGGAGTTCACATGAATATAGTCATCTGTTACTATTTATAAAGTATTTTCAATATGTTTTATATAAAAAAATCTTAAATTTTATTAACTCTTATTGCATCTCGTTCTAAATATAAGAGCTAATTGACTAATTTGAGTAGATTAAGAAAATAATTTAAGTTAGTTATTTGTAATAAATAGGTTGACTTTCCTTAAATATTTTTACCAATCAAATATATGAGTTAGAACTAATATTATTAAAAAGATTATCTTGAAAATAAATGGATAAATATAATAGACAAAGTAAATTGGAGTCTTATATTTAAGAGCAAAATAAAAATCAAACGAGGTCTTATATTAAGAATTGGAGTTAGTATTTAAAATTTAACAACTTTTCAACTTTAGTCTTATTGAGTATACATTATAGGGGAAATCACAAATAAAGACCCTCGAATTAGCAAAATCACTCTATGGTCACCTGAATATGCTAAATTACTATGAGGGACCCGGTCTCAAATTGTAATTATGAAATCATAGCTAAATTACCAAAATACCCCTCTTCAATTTTTTTTTTTTAAAAAAAGAAAGCCACTACCTCACCGGAATCCGGCCACCGGCGCCGGAGCTCCGGCGGCCGCTTCCGGCCACTGTCGGCGGCCGGACGCCGAGGTCCGGCGCCGGCGGCAGCTTCCGGCGGTCTTCCTTTGTTTTTTTTTTTGAAACTGTTTTTTTTTTTAAATTGGGGGGAAGTGAGGTTGGGGGGATTTGATCCTCCAACCTAATGCTTCCCAAAATAAGGAATGACCATTGAGCCAACAAATTTTTGTTAACATTATGATGCAAAAAAAAAAATAAGTTAACTCATTTACTCTTGTTCCAGGTGATAACAACAATACATTTGGAAATAACAAGTTCTGATTGTAAAATAACACGTCTAGAATAAAAATTTAACAATATGTTTTTTTTATAACAATAAATTTTATTGTAGGTAATAACAACAATACATTTAAAAATAACAAGTTCTGATTATAAAATAACAAGTTTGGGATTAAAATTTAATAACACGTTTTTTTTATAACAATACACTTTGTTTCAAGTGATAACAACAATACATTTAAAAATAACAAATTCTGATTATAAGATAATAAGTCTAGGATTAAAATTTAACAACACGTTTTTTTATAACAATTAATTATTTTATACTTTTAAAAAATAAATTATTTATAACTTATAAAAAATATTTTTAATATATTTATTTCTCTAAAAAAATACTTTTTAATCTGTATATCTATACAACTCATTATAAATCAAACTACTTCTTATAAATTATAAAGTATTTATAATAAGGCATTTTTGATTTATTAATCATAGTATAAATTTTATATTATTTCATTCTTTAAATATTAAAAATAGTTTTTATATTTAAAGAATAAAATAGTATTTTTAATTATAAATTAGAGATAAATTTCATTTATAAATTTAAGCAGTCAAAAAGTATTTTTAATCCACAATAAATTGTACTATTTATAATTTATAAGAAGTAGTTTGATTTATAATAAGTTGTATAGATATATAGATTAAAAATTTTAAAAAAAAAATTAAAAAAGTGTGTTGCCATTTTCCCTAAATTTTATTTATAAATTTGAACAATAAAAAAGTATTTTTAATCTATAAAAAATTATACTTCAAGTTCTGATTATAAATTGGAGATAAAAATTATTTTTTTAGCAAATTAAATAGATTACAAGTACTTTTTATAAGTTATAAATAATTTATTTTCCAAAAGTATAAAATAATTAATTGTTATAAAAAAAAGGTGCTGTTGAATTTTAATTCCAGACTTGTTATTTTATAATCAGAACTTGTTATTTCCAAATGTATTGTTGTTATCACTTAAAATAAAGTGTGTTGT